TTGCCGTGTCCTCCGTCGTCCCTCCCTATCCCTTGATACCCGCTTGCTCAGCAACAGTTTTGAGAACTCTGAAAAAAACCGCAAACCTAGCTGTACGGTCTGTGCGTCGGTGGGAAATGCAGGGATCAACCCCGAAGAAGGGATTTTGTTAGGTGGTCGTATTTCTCACATGTTCTTGTCGAAGGCGGAATGTGCCTTAGCGGATGGTTTTTGCAAAGCCCAGAGGAACTTGGAAGCGGTGGTTTAGGTCTATCATCTCTTTCGTGTCGCATGTGGCCTGGTACTGCCCCATCTGAACATCGCTAGTTCTGATCAACAGAACAGCACTCATTGTGCAGTGAGTGTGCAGTTTCTTCGACTCGCCACAGTCAGACAACTTCTTCAGCAGTGAAATTTTCGAGGGAGAATATGGCGAACAGTCAGTGACTGCAGTTACGTTTATGATGAAGACTATCCACCGGATCGAATTACTCTAAGAAGCGTTTTTGTTGTGATCAGTTACATTTGAATTTACTCTCCGTAGATTACAAATGAATTTACTCTCCGGAATTTACTAATAATATGTATTTACGGTACCGTACTGCTATCCCTTGCTTCTGTTGGTACACTTTTGCAGTTGCATGACTTTATTGATACGAATATTGATACTGATACGAATTACTATAAAAAGCACTTTTGTCGTGGACACATCACTTTCTGGGTTTGCGCCCTTCGATACCGCACCATTTAGCATAATTGTTGTACTTTGTCTTCAGTAATAGGGTGGAAACCCCAAGCATTACCATTGAAATTGAAATAACCGTAGATATCCTTGTCCTGAAACACTCGTGACTTTTTCATTACAGCAGGTATGGGCATGCAGAGCTGGCTGATTAACTTGATACGAATTCCAGATTCGTATACTCAGAACATCAGTGTACGAGAAATTTTTCGGTAGAAACTATATACTCAACCGCTGCAATATAAAGGACTATATGTGCCTTCATTCCGTTTTCTGCTGTCCGTCTATTGCTCACGGTCTTATTAAAGGAGAAGACCGCAGTATCTTCAGGCTGGAAACGCGAGTATTTATCGAATTTTGGAATTATGAGTCAGAGAAACAGTGCCATTCAACGGATAGTAACTTACAGGGAGTTCCTTTCGGTTGAGACCATTCTTCATTGCGTCCTTTTGTTCTGGGCTGTAATCAGAAAGTTTCTTTTGGACACGTGTAGTTTTTACACATTCTTTGGATTCAATGGTATCGGAGTGCGAAGCGCAGAACAATGCTGAGATGAGTACACCAATCGTCACCGTCCACATAATCTAAATATGACTGTGAGCCAAAATGTGAAGAACAGAATAATAACTGCAAAGAATGT